TAAGTGTTATAGTATTGATCAGAATGTACTGGAATTTCATATTGAGTATTAATTCAGTAGGCCCAGAGAAAGCCCGTACAGAGTTCACAGCAGAATCACAAAGAAAATTAATACCTTGAAAATAGAACCCAGTGATGGAATCTTATATATATCTGTGATTATGTTGCCTATGACTAAAACTGTTATGAAGGATATTAAGCCTTTAAAATGTGATTGGTTTTAAGTACGACGAACTGACTTATGAGAACTCCTTTTTTTCAAAACACATGGTACTGTTTCCTAACTGGGAGAACATGTAGTTACCTGTTTATTAGTCTACGCTGCATTCTTCTTTACATTTGGCCTCCTTTGATGACAATATTCATAGCTACCTGGCCTGAATACCTAATCTGTAGCATTTTATTTAGGCTTATTAATAAAGTACATTTAGAGGTTGCTTTCAAAATGAACATAGGGAATGCGGGGTGGTGAAAGTTGGGGACTGACAAACCCTCTAGAAAGACTAATTAGTCAATTCAGTTAGTTTTCTTTAGTAGCCATGATGGTCTAGTAAGTTTTGATGAGGCTTTAGGACAGATAAGCCAGGAATATGTGATCTTTCCTACGGAAAGCGGCCAGGGAGTGTGACAGCATCCTGAGACACCTCCCTGTACCCGCCCCATTTGCTCTGGGGCTGGTGTCTAACTGCGAAGGAGAGGAGGAGAGGGACCTTGCAGTCAGTGTACAGTCACATCTTAACTTGTGCTAGATGTGTCTACAGAACACAATACATTAACAATTATTTCAGTGACAGCCAGACTTTTGTCAATGAGTCAAACTGAGTAGTTCATGACAATTGAAATCTCTTGAGTGACAAGGTATATTTTAATCTCCTTGAACCATTTCGTGAATCTTTCCTGTTTAAAAGAAAAATATTTTAAAAACATCTTCCCAATTGAAATCTCTTGAGTGACAAGGTATATTCTCCTTGAACCATTTCGTGAATCTTTCCTGTTTAAAAGAAAAATATTTTAAAAACATCTTCCCTGAGTTTATAGTGATTCAAATACAAACAGACATAACTACCTGATCATCGTTACAAATGTTCATCTGTAAACCTGGATTTTTTACTTTGTGTTATGTACTTTGTCAGATTAAAGGTTGGTATTAGACATACCATACACAAAGCTTTGAAATATTTTGGACTATTTTAAAAATAAATAACACCCTTTAAGAAGGATTATAAATGTATTAAGAGACTTGTTCAATGAGTATACAGTGATCATATCATAAAAACAATATAGGGAACATATTTTTTATAGCTGGATATTGCTCAGCTCGAGGACCTCCAGCACAGTCAGTTTCTTTGAAGAGGGACTATAAGTGCTAAGCCAGTCTTTACCAGGGCTTGAAAAAAATGAGAATTACCAGCTAGTTACTGGAAAGTGAAGGTGAAAGAAACTCAGATGAAACCTTAAAATAACCAACCTTTAGTGTCTTTCAGAATTTGACTGGGCACCAGTGATGTCCTATATTGAGCGAAAGTATGTTCTTACTGTCCACCTGTACGCCATCCTTAGCCCAGAGCTTCAGTTTATTTAAAAAACTAGTACCTCAGTCACATCTCATAAAGCAATGAGTACTGTTATGAATAGGAGGACACAAGTAAAAACACCAAAAGACAGAAGCTTTTGGCTGTCTGGTTAGCTCAGTTGGTTAAAGTGCAGCCTCATAACATTAAGGTCACAGGTTCAGATCCCTGTGTCAGCCAGCCACAAAAAACAAACCAAAAAACCATTTGATATTGTTGATTGAATTGAAGTCTCTTTTCCCCCAAAGAATTGCTTAAAATATGCTGTTTTAGCATTGTTTTGCGTTAATTTTAGTAACAAGGTCTTTGTGATTTCATTCATTTTAAGACGGTTGAAGAATAGCAAGGCATCCACAGATGGGCATCGGTACCTTTTTCGTGGCCGGATCAATACAGAGGTGATGGAAGTGGAGAATGTGGACGATGGCACGGGTAAGTGATAAGTAGATTTAAATGGAATGCCAAGAGTCACTTCCTCAGAAGACAGATCTCACTTGGGTAATTCATCTGTGATGCATTAGAGCTTGAAAATACTTTGCTAGGTAGAGCAGTCTGGTGAAGGGACGAGAAGGGTGAGTTAAAGGAGTGCAGGACTATTGTAAAAGTGGAAAGTTATATTTGGCTGAAACATACTAACATTACATACAGAGATACAGAGAAATTGCTGAATTAATCATAGGACATTCACAGTTCCTGGATAGAGTATGTGTACAGAAAATGCTAGTATTTCATGGATGAGTTGATTTGCTTTAAGTTATACTGTTTTATAAGCATATGTGTTATATTTTGTTTCTATCATGTATTCACTGCAGAATATAGCAAATTCTAGATTTGTTTTAGCCACACAATTATTATTAATATAAATGGTCATAAGTTTGGAGAGGAAACTTATGGAGGGAGGTGGTTTGGTTAATTTTTAAGTGCTCATTTTAAGTACCTTGTTACTCAAAGGTAGTAAATTTTTGTTCTGTAGATTTGGAGGTACAGACTTTTACGAACAAATTCATGAAATTATGATTAGTCACAAACCTTAAGTAAAATGAAGTTAAGATAGGGCCGGCCTGGTGGCGACTTCTACAGTGTGCCGCTTGGGAGTGCGGCGGCGCTCTTGCCGAGGGTTCGGATCCCACATACAGACCGGTTCCCGTTCACTGGCTGAGCGGGGTGCGGGCGAACAAATTCATGAAATTATGATTAGTCACAAACCTTAAGTAAAATGAAGTTAAGATAGGGCCGGCCTGGTGGCGACTGCTACAGTGTGCCGCTTGGGAGTGCGGCGGCGCTCTCGCCGAGGGTTCGGATCCCACATACAGACCGGTTCCCGTTCACTGGCTGAGCGGGGTGCGGGCGCAACACCGAGGGTTGCGATCCCGTTGCTGGTCCCGGTCCGGTGCGGGCGCGACACTGAGGGCTGCGATCCATTGCCGGACACGAAAAAAAAAAAGACAAAAAGGAAAAAAAAAAATGAAGTTAAGATAAATTTTATTTTCTATTTAAGAAAAAAGAGTTGTCTATAAAATGAATGCTTAGTAAATTGAATTTTCCCTGTGATTTTAATTAGAAGTTCAAAGGTGTTCTTCCTGGAGAAAAGACAAGATGAAATAAAATATGTTCATTGTTGCTAAATGACTTTTATTTCCATATAGAGAAATGTGTAATATTCAATATAAACATGGGATTGGGGCACAGATCAGCTCCCCCCACCTCCCAGATTCCGAGATTTCAGAGGGGAGAGGAATGTTTATAATCTGTCATGGGCACAAATTTTCAAATGCTTACCAGTACACCATTTCTCCATCCCATTGTTAGCATCTTAAATTGTCAAGTACTTAAAAGAATGAAACATGATTGCTGCAAGTCAGGGGAAAAACGTGTAATGAGCAAAACTTGGGTGGTGCCTGAAACTGGGCCCTCCTTGGCTATTGGTGGCATGGAGATGTGGCACTGTCAGACGATGGCATGGAGCGGTATCCTGTTTCAAATCCCTTTCAGCACTGCAGACTGTAATGTAGTTGCGAATACTCCCATGCTAACACGTGGATCCTCCTATCTTTCCATAGCAGTATGTACACATTATTTTTATATGATGGCAGTAATTGATTTTATGCCTTCTAAGAAGACTATGTAGTGACATTTAGAAATGTTACCTGTCTGAAATGTTAAGAGCTATTGTGCCTTTTTAACCTGAATGTTCAAGAGAATATGCAAAAGCCCACTTTGTACTTGAGTTGGGAGGGAGTCAGTTAGTGAAAGCACAATCAACACCTCTCTGTGTTTTCTGCTGGCCTTGTCTACCCTAATGGGACCATGTCTCCCCTAGTGCTTCAGCACTTTATTTTCTTCCCTTCTTATGCTTTCCCACGGGCACAGAGCTCCTGGCCTTTCTTCCTGAGGGACTGAACCTCCAGCCCTTGTTTCCCACTTCCTTCCCCTTGTCCAGATGATGCGAGTGCCATGATTGGTACCATCAGTGAATTTTGTTAATGATTACTCTGCCTCGTATGCCTATGGTAAATTGGGGCACTAAAGAGCTGTAAGAGCCCAGGGCCTTTGGAGGCATGGGCATAAAATGCAGTCCTCGGCGTATGTGTGTCAGATGTCTAGGGAGTGAAATCCCGTGAGGGGTGACTTGGATAGTGCTTTTACACAAATGGTCTTTGGATTCAATCCCATGAAAAATTTCTATTGGTTACTAGTAGGATTCCAACCTTCAGGGCCTCAGTTCCTGGGGGGGAGGCATTGTGGAAGATGGGGCCTAAGACTTGGGTATGAATTAGGGGACACTGCAAGACATTTAGTTGTCATACGTTAGTTGTCTAATGGAGCCTCTTCATATGAATTTACAAGACTCAGCTTTCGTTGTAATAAGACGCAGAAATTCATTACACTTTGTATTATTCAATTAGGGGTGCTTTTTTTTCTTGCTTTTTCTTGAATATAAATAAGCAGCATTTTGCATCAATTTGGCTGCAAATAGTTTCTACAAGGTCACCTAGAGAATTTCTAGGCTGCATTGGATACTTTCCCTTTACTTCCTGCAAGGAAAATTTAATTTTCTCATGGGTGTATCTGCTAGGTCTCTAGGGGAAGTGTGCATCCTCTGCCAGGCCTGAAAGTTCAAAAATAGAAATTTTGAAGATGGATAGGATCTTGGAGGTCAAGTAATACGCCCATTAGAATTTCAGATAATAGAAATGAGGCCAGGTTTAAGAGCTAACTCGTCCAAGCTCACCCAGCCGTTTAGTGCAGAGCTGGGCTTAGAGGGAAGTTTGATAGGTTCCCATGTCCATGCTTTGAAATATATACAGGAGAGCAGAAGCCCCGTGCAGGTTTTAAATCTACAGGGACCAGTGGAGAGCAGTGAAAGAATAAGGCATCAGTGTGCAGAGATCGATTTTGGTTGCTTGTTGCTTCTAAGAGATGATCTGCATGCTGTATCAACTTTCTCCCTTTCTTGTTTCTTTGGTCTTGTTTCATTTCCATCATGGTCTCTTCATTTTGTTTAGATGAGCTCAGGTTTTAAGCCTGCCTACTTTATACTCTGTGAATGGAGCTGTGATGCTGATAATCTCTGCAGAGCTGATTAGTATTTCGTATGCCAAGTACTCCCTATACGTGGACCCTGGATAAGCTGGATGAGAGAAGGGAAAATACTCTGAGGCTCATCTGCCATCGCCCAAACCAGAAGCAAACCACTACCCCATATTTAGATATAAATAATAAAAGTAAATGAATTGAGATATATTTTTAAGCATGCTTAGAACTTCTGATGGAAAATTGAATGGAAAAGTTTTCCTTCCACTTGAATTATAAAAGTACTGAAAATTTTTGTATACCGTAGGTGTAACTAAAATGCTTTCCTTGTTTAATCAAGAAGCTCTATCTCATAACTAATTGCATTGATATAGCTTAAAACTTGAAGAAGAAATAACTGCGTGTGGAATGAAACTAAAGCTTTCAGTGAACATGAAAATATCTCCAATCTTTTGAGAAATAAATGTGATTAAAATTATATTTATAATGTTTAATGACTTGGATTATTTCATAATTATATCTTAGTACAGAAAAAATTTAACTAAATGATGGTATGACATACAGAAGTGCAAAATGTGTATATTTATTTAAATCTATTCATGTTATTCATTATTTCCTGTATTGAAAGATGTTAACTATTGGGTTTGTGGCAAAAATTTCCATTTGAGTGTTCTCTTAAGATTTCAACTCTCCTTTCAGTGAATCTAATTTAATTCCTCTTTGAAGATTCTTTCTGGGGATATTAGTTTGATCATGATGCTATAGAAAAATATCCAGCAGTAGTTGGAAATGTATTGAATTTCCTAGAATTAATTTTCATGGTGCATGCTTGGAAAGCCATTTAAAAAGTAACACCAGATTATTAGTGATCTCTCTTAAGAACTAGTTTGTGTGGCTGGACAGAGAAGGCGAGGATGTGGACCTTTAGAAAATGTGATCTGTAGTTCAGTGTTGGGCAAACCATAGATTTCAATGCAATAGTCAAAACTGAATTGGAAAAGATGGAAATTTTTTTATTTTTAAGGTGTTCTTTAAAAGTAAAGATCTTTTAAAGAAAAAATTCAGCTGTATTTGTAAATATAAGTATTTGAAACCATCTTGAGTTATTGAGTACATTGTCTTTATAAAATTAAATTTTTCTTAGTAAAGAAAATTTGGAAATTGCAGAAAAATATAAAGATGAAAAATACTAGATAATCCTGTCATCCAGAGACAAATAAAAGAAGTGGCTTTTTTTTTTAATTTCAAGTTTTCTTTTTATGCATAGATTTTAAAAATGCTTAAAAATATGAAATCTATGACTCTGCATCTTTTTTCATTTACATAAAGCATTAATTGGTAGCCATCTTTATCTTAATGTTTTATCATCAGCTAAACATAGATTTTAATTTTTGCATAATAGTCAATCAAATAGGGAAACCATAGTTACGTTAATAACTGTAGTATTGTTGCATAAGTTGGACTGCATACATTCTTAATTAAAAGTAACAATAACTTTGCAATGTTGAAACAAGTACAAAGGACATAATGGTTATTTTCTGATACACTTAATCCTTCAATATGTTATTAATTTAAGGGAGTGGATGGGTATCTGGAAATTGAAAAAGCTCAAGAGGTGAGTTACCTATTAGAGTTTTGAAAGGAAAAATCAATTAGAACTTTTTTTTTTCTGCCATAGATAATGTCATATGCTATTTTGGATGTCAGAAAATTTTCTTCTATTATTTGATAAAATCAAAAATTTATTCCAAAAAAAAATGTTACTCAACATTAAATATTCATTCTGTGAGTAAATTGTAATTTTAAAAATCTCCATTAGAAATTGATATGCTCACGTTGTTCACCAGGACAAGGATTGAATACATTATTTGGGTATCAGTTTCTTGATGTTATGTTACTCAACATTAAATATTCATTCTGTGAGTAAATTGTAATTTTAAAAATCTCCATTAGAAATTGATACGCTCACGTTGTTCACCAGGACAAGGATTGAATACATTATTTGGGTATCAGTTTCTTGATGTTTTGAATAATATATTCTGGCAATTTCTTCTGTTTCCTAGCTCAAGTGTACAATACTTGGTTATTGTTCATCTTAATAAAATGCAAATTTATTGAAAGAATACTAGCATGTCCACTGTGATTTATAGTGTATCAGTTTTGGAAAAACCCCATCTCATTAAATGAAGCTGTGCTGAATTAAGAGTAAGGAATTTGCAAGTTGTATAGTTTCAAAGTAATTAGTGACTTGTCTAGGTCTGCCCCTTGGATTTTTCTGTTTTTGGAAGAAATCAGTGAGCAGAGACTGTTGAACTTGGATAGTACACATTTAATGAATGGCAATTATAATTCCATTCTTTTTTTGACACTTTCTTTAATTAATACTTTAGATCCATTGAAGCTTGCAAATTCCTGTTTGCCATTTAATAAGTTATTTATTCTTTCCTTAAAAAAGTTTTTTAAAAAAATTTCTACTAAGGACAAAACACTGTTGGACTTTACCACGATCTTAGTGAGGGTGCTGTTTATGGAGAAGTTTAATTCTTATTTTGAAGAATGAAAATATCAAACAATGTGCTATGATTGAAATTATGGAGTTATTTATATGTCACTAGATCTTTTGAAATAAATGAGAAGCAATTGCTTATTTTGTATAACATTTGGTAATTATGATATCATTATGAAGTATGTATATACTACATTTTGAGGCCTGTTGTATGTTTAAAGATATGTATATATGTGTGTATGTATGTGTATATACATACACAGTTACTTCAAAAAATTTGTGGAAAAATAGAATTAAAAGATAATATAAATCCTTCCATAAGTTTTTTGAAATACCCTTGTGTATACATGTACATGTGTGTATATATGTTTAAAATTACTTACAATTTTTTAAAATTGGTATGATAGAAATTAGCTAACCTGTAAACTTTAAAAAGGAACATATTTCAGAAAGTTATATGACACAAGCTGTTCTTTCAAAATATTATATTAGTGTAACAATTAACCTGTGATTTGAGATAATAGATTTTACAGTCAACTAATGATCTTGGTTTGTGTACATTGAAACAGTCAATCACATGCTCACTTGTCTGGTTCTGAGTTTAATTGTATGATTTCCAAAGGAAGTTTGAATGTACAGGCTGGAGTGGTCAGGTAAGGCTTCAGGGAAGAAAAGGGTACACTTTAAAGAAAAGTAAAAGTTCACGAGGCAGAGAGAAGAGTTGGGTAGCTTGATGAGAACCATGGTCTCCACCTGGGTGATGCATAAGTATTCATAGGACAGTCAGAAAAGCAGTAGACAAAAGAGGGTTGGGAACACAGTAGTAGAACACAGTGGAAAATGGCATTAGTTAGAGTGGGATCAGTTGAAGAAGAATCTCTAAAGCAAGGTCTGCATGTTTTAACTTGACTCAGTGGCAAGACACCAAAGGCTTTTGAGCTAAGACGTGGCTGATGAAAAATATTTAAGGAAGAGCCAGCAGGGTGTGACAAGGGCAGTGACCAGACTCAAGTAATCCAGGAAGGGAAGGAAGGATGACCCAGGTAATAGAGGTGGCTGCTCCAGGGAACACACCTGTGCAGGGTCAAGAGCATCACCCTGATGATTTTGGCACATGAACTTGTGTTCCTCTGTGCTCTGTGGGAGGAATGCATTGTGCTCATTTGAAAGTCCAGTGTTTGTTACGGTAAGCTGCATGTGTCTATTGTGGTTTTCTTTATCTAGAGTTATGGCTAAAGGGGTAATAACACTTACGGGAATGTGGGCTCTTTTAAAGTGCAGTGCAAGATTCACTTAGCTAACCGCGGTCTCAGTTGAGAGGAGAGAAAGTCTGAAAAGCTTGTGCTTGTTTGTGATACTGGCCTTGTACGGTGACAAGTTGGGGCAGGAGGAATAGTAGACATGTACAATTTGAAATCTTTTGAATTTTTTTTAACACCAATTTATCATTATGTGTCAGTTGGTTGTATTTATAGATATTAAGAAGGGATTGTAGTGTAATTATCAAGTGATACTTTCTATTTTCCTACTAATGCCCATTAATACTTATCTGACATGAATTATGAGGTTTGCTACTTTTGAATTATGAGGATGCAAACAGTGATTAAATTTGTAAGAGTAAGAAGAAAAGTACAAAAATTCCTCTTAAAAATGGATTGTAATTTCCTTTTGGAGGGAAAATCCTTTGCCAGTTTGAATCTCTGTATTATCTGAAGTCGTTATTGATTATTCATGGTATTATGGCACATACATAAAATATTGACTACTGTCTAATATAATTCTATTCTGGCTCAGATGTAACCTGGAAGTTTTCAAGACCCCACAACTATACAGAATCATTTGATAATGCATTTTGGAGACTATAAGTCTGACCACAGTTAACGTGTGGTGATTTGGGAGTAAGTGAAAAAGGCTGTGGGAACCAGATTATGGAAGAATGTGTGCCAAGCACATTTGCTTCTACTTAAAACTTTCTAAATAAAATAAATCATTTGAGGGAAAAGAAAAACAAAATAGGTAAAGTGCCACGAAGTCATTCTCTAAACCACCTTTAACTGTATTGTGGCTTATCTCCTGTACGGGCTGTTAGTGCTTCATAACTTTCAGGGGAGACAAATGAAAAGCGTCACTTTAGTTGGTGCAGATGCTGATTCAGGCCTCTGTCATATGTTTTTCCATCTTGGGTTCTTTGCTTTGCAGAGACTGTCATGCCAGTAAACGTTGATTACAAATGACGTCACTATTCTCTACCTGCTGGTAGGCAGAAAGCTGTCACAGAGGGTTTGCTGTTGACATCTTCAAATCCATCATGATACTTTAGCCAAAATTATGGTCAGGTATCAAAAAAGTCAATTAAATGTGAATTAATTCTCAAAGAAAATTTTTTGTGAGTTTCTATCCATGCTAATTATATGGAATGAAGTGTTATGTTTCAGCCGTGTGCAATGATAATGGTTTGGCATTTGTACATTTCCATTTATTGTAGCTTAGATAAATACACTGTTAGTGTGTTTCATTGACTTGTTCTTATTGTGCAGTTCAATAAATAATAGAGAATTGTTCTGTGGGGTAATAGACTGTCTCTGAAATCTAGAATATTTTTCAAAGGAATATTAGACAGACAAAATGAATCTGACACTTTGAATCTTTGATTACTGAGGATAAAATTCCTTAAGTGTTATTCTTTTATTGCTTTAGGAACTTCAACAATATTTTTGGACATAGAGAAAATGAATGTTAGTTTGTGGTGTTTAATTTCATGAAATGTATTAATATTGTGAATTAGAAATGTTCCAGTATTGAGCACTGACTGCATCCAATATATAAACATTTCTTTAATTTTTTTATTTTTATTTTTTTCAATGTACGTGTATAAAGCAAAGTTATTTTGAAGAATTCAGTGGTTTTGGAACTTTTATGAATAGAATGATCAAGTTGGTATGATATTGTATTTTACATTTTGTTAATTCACTTTTACACATTAATTTCCAGCTGATTTCCATAGCAGTGGACACATTGTTGTTAATGGATGGAAGATACACAACACAGCAAAGAATAAATGGTTTGTGTGTATGGCAAAAACACCGGAAGAGAAGCATGAATGGTTTGAAGCTATTTTGAAAGAAAGAGAACGGCGAAAAGGTGGGTGTCTTAGTTGGACACTATTATTCTTTGTGAAGATTCTAACTTAGCATGAGAGCAGATAATAAGAAAAAGGAGAGAGTGGAAAGGTACATGATATAAATTTTGGTTTACTACGGGATATAAGCCTGTACTAAAATACTTTTTGAATATTTACAAAGTGTTACCTAAATAAAATAAAAACCTTATATAGTTAGAAAAATAATTATATAATGCCTGGCAATGTCTTTTAAGTAGTTTGAGTTGTTTTAACATTTGTTCAACTTTCCTTGCACTTTGTTCTTGCCCATTTCTAAAGCATCCTCACAAAGTTTTCCTTTAAGAGACAAGCTGCAATAATATAATGCAGTGTTGTAGGAACTCCAACAGTTGTTCTCTATATATTTAAGAATACACCGAAAATTCCTATGCCAACTATGTTAGGTTTCTAATTTATAGATTAAGGCACTTTGGATATATATTAAGTTTTTAAAATTGTTAGAATGTCATTGAATATAATGCAATATAACCTAGTAAGTTGCTTGTTCACATGAAGAAGTCTAGCTCAAATTCGCTTCATGCTTTTAAAGATTTGCAAAGGTATTTGGTTCTGGCAATATTCAGTTGTGTGAAGTTTATTTATAATAAGCATATTTCTGTAATTCAGCTTGGAAATAGAAATGCTTGTCTTTCTACTAGTTTCTTTACCAATTGATTTCTTAATTGTTAAGAGCACATTACTGATTACTTTTCCCTGAGATCCAGGAATAAAACACCTCATTGGTAATGAAACTTTGGAACACAAAGAGCCCTTTCTTTCATCTTCAAATGTTTTCTCCTGAAGAATATACAAAGTTTTTACTTTAATTAAAATATTCATAGTACACATTTGCATAAGAATTTCCAAAGCATTTTCAAGTACTTACTCCTCTGACTGATCTTAGATGAAGAACCAGATAGAAATTTTTAAAACAAAGGTTGTGAATGCATAAATGACTTTTAAGTTTTCTTGAATCTAGCCATCAATTCAAACAGCAAAGCAAGTAACTTAAAAGGTGAATCTAATTTTTCATCAAGTTGAACCTTTATTGTTTCAGAATGGCTATGCATCTAGTACCACTCCAAACAAAAATTTGAAAGCAAAACAAACAAACAAAAGAAAAAACAGAAAGAAAAAAACATTTTACAAAACTTTATGATGTTTATTTTTATCAGGCTCTATTCTTTATTCTTAAGAGTTTATTCACTATTACTGACAAATGTTAATGGCTCCTACATTGTGAAAAATAAAATTTTAATAAGAAATTTTGCAGCTAGAAGACTAAAAATAATTCAAGTATTATTAATTTAAGTATCCAAGCTCTTCATCTTCTGCAACAGTTCTTCCTCAGTTGCAGCTACTGCTTAAGTGCTGGTGTTCCCAGGATTTCTCCTTTGGGGCCAGCTTCCTCGGCTCTTTACTTGGGTTATCTAGACCCACCAGATTAACTTTCACATCTACACTGCCATTTTCTCAGTCTTTATATCCTGTCTTATCCTCTCTCCTGAGCTCCATTCTCGTGTATTCAACTGGCTCTTTACTTGGGTTATCTAGACCCACCAGATTAACTTTCACATCTACACTGCCAGTTTCTCAGTCTTTATATCCTGTCTTATCCTCTCTCCTGAGCTCCATTCTCGTGTATTCAACTGACCCCTGGACTCTACTTGAATGTCCCAACTCAACATCTCAGTACTGACTGGACTTGGTGTTATGTAGACGCATTTGCCTAACATGCCTCCCTACCTCCCTTCAATTACTCTCATCAAAAGCCTGGAATGCATCCTGATTTCTTCTCTTTCCTTCATGCCTGTGATTAACCAGTTGCTGTGTCCTATCAATACCACCTTCTAGCTATTTCTCAACTTCATCCTCTTTGTCCTGTGGCCCCTACTTGCGTGCAGGAGCTTGAGCATTTGCTGTTTCCTCCTAGTGGTCTCCCTCTTTTCAAACCTTCTCTCTTCAGTTTGCTCCCACGTTATCTTCTGAGCTTTGTTTCCAAAGCAACATAACTTTCTTTCCTGCACCACCCTGCCTTTTTCCTCCTGGTGGTTAAGACACTTACATATTTCCTCAATATCTAAAGAATGCAGTCAGTGGAAACTGCAGGCTTTTCAATGACCCTGCATAACCCACCAGCACATCTCCTGTCTGCTCACCTAAACCCTGGGCTCCGTGCCTCTATGTTGCTTCACATTAGTTGGCTCTTGTGAATATTTTCGCTCTCTCTCTCTCTCTCTCTGTCTCTCTCTCTCTCTACCTATTCATACCTGTGCATTTAAACATGGCCCTTCTGTGAAACCTTTCTCTCTATGTTGCTTCACATTAGTTGGCTCTTGTGAATATTTTCGCTCTCTCTCTCTCTCTCTCTCTCTGTCTCTCTCTCTCTACCTATTCATACCTGTGCATTTAAACATGGCCCTTCTGTGAAACCTTTCTTAACATTTCTTACATGGAGGTGAGGTATCCTCAATATACTGTTGTATCACAGTTTTCCCCCAGGGCTGTCTCTGGGACCACCCTGTCCTTTAGGCTGATCTAACCCTGCACAGGGGTATGGGGGCTCAAGGGTCCATAGAGGATGAAGCTCGGCTGCTCTTAATCCACTTGCTAAACCATTATGCCTTTGGGGTACAATTTGCACAAAGGTGCTATATGCCCTGGGGACCTTGCCTTGACTTTCTCCCTAGAGTACCCTGAGCTTCTTGAAAACCAGGCTCCAAACTTACAGAGCTCTGTATCCACAACTGCCAGCACATGGTAGACATGCAATAGATGCTTGTTTAATGAAGGTGCGAGGGAACGAATGAAGAGACTTTTTTAGTTATGTGTCCTTTCTCTTGTTTTTGATAGGTTTAAAATTAGGAATGGAGCAAGACACTTGGGTAATGATCTCTGAACAGGGTGAGAAACTTTACAAAATGATGTGCAAACAAGGAAATCTGATCAAAGACAGAAAAAGAAAACTGACTACGTTCCCTAAATGCTTTCTTGGAAGGTAAGGTTGGTAGTCTGGGTGCATGTATTTCTTTCATATTCTCACTATCTCCTATGTTAACTTTCCTTTAATTATTTGTTTTTCTTTTAAAAACATCCCCCTAAGCATTTTTGAATACTTTTTACGTCGACGTTTGCTGGGCTGTAGCAGGATGAGGGAATGGACAGAGAGCCAGGACCATGACCAGAAAACTGAAGACAGCTGTCCATTCATCCGTGATCTCCACAATTTCTGATATGCCCTGTTCTGAGGGGGAAGCAGAGGTTGGGGCCAGGCAGGGTGTGGCAGGCAGGCAGATTTGCCTGTAGGGCACAGGGTGACTGGTTTGGCGGGTCATGTGAGCAGAGCCTGAAAGTCAAAGTTGGCAGTGGATCCAGAAAGTCAGGGGAGACCATCTCTGTCCAATTCCTGGTGCTACCAGTAGCTAGTCATGTGATTTGGGAAAGTTAACTTGGTTTTCTTCTGAAACATGGAGATGATGGTACTGCTCACCTGTAGTGCCCATCAGTCTGTCTTTTTAACTAGCTATAGGGACACACAACATCACCATGGGCCACATTGCCGCTCCCCCCATCCCCAACTCAGAAAAATGTAGGCTGAGAGACCCCCTGCCTGCAGGCTATCTTCTTTAGTGGGAGTGGTCCTCATAGCAGGCCACATAGCTGCCAGCTGAGCTATGCTGTTGTCAGTGGCTCCCCAGGTGACAGGTCTTGTGCAAGGAAAAGAGCAGATGTGAGCTCACCTTGGCATGGAAGCCCTGTGAAACAAGAGGACAGTATCCCTTGTAGCAACTCCATGGGCATAACCTGCAGGGTCCTCACCAGGACATAACCACTTGCAAGAGAGTCACTTTGAGCTGTGGCTTCTCACCAGGTTGTTAAGGGTATGCAAATCAGCCATCAGGGGTCACTTTTACTATGAGCAATGCTGCCTAGTATCACAGCTGACATTCAGCTTTAATTAGGTATTTAGGAGAACAGAGCTAGAAAGTTAACCTAGCATCACATTTGCCCTTCATACGGAAAGGGTATTGCTAACCGTTTACCCACGCTGCCTCATATGGTTGTAGTGCTAGTTAGTTGTGATGATATGTAAAGCATTTCCCAGAGCACTGACGCAATGGAGAGATGCAGTAAATATTAGCTGTGTTTATTGTGGCATTTTCTATAACAGCACACTATACCGCTGCTTTACAGCCTAAGTTTGAGATAGTTTCTGAGTGGATCTTGATCCTTTAGCAGAGGACTGATGGAATTTTCTTGTTACTTGAGTAGGTCCCATGATAAAGCCACTCATTAGCTTCTTTTCTAAGTTTGAGATAGTTTCTGAGTGGATCTTGATCCTTTAGCAGAGGGCTGATGGAATTTTCTTGTTACTTGAGTAGGTCCCATGATAAAGCCACTCATTAGCTTCTTTTCCTACCCCCTCCTCCACTTAAAAAAATACTCTCAATTTGTAGCAATATTTAAATTGGCTTTCTTTCATTTTAATTTGACCTTTTTAGGAATCTGGTGACATCAGCATTGCAAATTATTCCTTAGCTACATATCAGCCATCTCGACCCACTTGCTAACCATCAAAGTTCAATGAACACTCACTATGTGCCAGGCACTGTGCTGACTTCCTGACATACATTGTCTCATTTAATCCTCTGACAGCACTATGACATTGATATTCTTATTATCTCTATGTTATTGATGAAAAAACTGAGGGTTAGAGAACTAAATTTACTAACTTGAAGTCACACAGCTAGTGGAAGCAGAAACAAGATTTGAATCAAGGTTGTCTTGTTGCAAAGTACATGATCTTAACGTCTATACTTTATTTCACCTTTTCTTATTTTCTTTCTTTTGGATGGTTCTGATTTAATAAGAGAATAAAAAGCATTTTAACAGCTTTTTTACCTTAAAGTGTATTTTTTAGACTAGATCATTCAGTTTTAGAATTTCACATTCCTTGATTATTTGACTTCAGTCATTATTGTTGCTTTTGGTTTTGAAATAAATGGAAAAGTAATTTCCTGATGCTTTCCGCAGTGTTTCTCTGATCAGAAAAAAGAAAACCAGCCTAAAACAAATTCATTAGTTTGTGTAAAAGTTTAAATATTAGATTTTTAAAACATGAGCATACTAACATTTTTTTAATTTGTAAAATGTCTCTGTATTTAGTGTTCTCTTAATGATACCATGTGACTTAAGAAAAGCCCCACTACATAGCTGAGGCTCTCCTAAGTGATACAAAACATCGCACTTACTATCTAGGATACCTTTGGCTGTCCCTGCAATGGTGAAAGATGTGAACTCTAATCTTCTGTGGCGCTTCACAGCCACAGCAAATGTGTGTGGCAGACAGTTCTGATGGATGGTTCTGTGCTGGAGTATTCCTTATGGGTGACAGTCCAGATATAATAATGAATTCACCAAGTCATTTTAAAATTTCAAAAGAATGTAGCAAAACTCTTCTATGTGTTTTGGTGTGTATAGATTTTCTGTTGCTGTGTGGCAAACAGCCACATACTTAGCAGCTTAAAACAACACCCATTCATTAGCTCATACTCAGAAGTCCAGGCAAGCTCAACTGGGTTCTCTGCTTAGGGTCTCACCAGGCCAAAATCAAGGTGTTGGCCAGACTGTGCTCTTACTTGGAGGTTCTGGGAAAAAGTTCACCTCCAAGCACATTCAGTTGTTGGCAGAATTCAGCTCCTTGCGGTTGCAGGGAATGAGGTCCCTCTTTCCCTGTCGACTGTCACCCGGGGCTGCTCTGAGCCACATTCCTTGGTATGAGCCCCTCCACCTTCAAAGCCAGCAGTGGTGCACTGAATCCGTCGCATGCTTTCAGTTTCTCTGACTTCCTCTTGTGCCACCAGCCTGAGAAAGTTCTGCTTCAAAGGGTTCAACTGATTGGGTCAGACCCATTCAGATAATTCTCGTATTTTAAAGTCAACTGACCTGGGATTTTAATTACATGTGCAGAATCCCTTTGCAGCAGCAACTAGATTAGTATTGAAAAACCAAGGGGTAAGATTCTTGGTGGGGGTGGGAGGTCAGTAAGAGGATTTCTTTAGAATTTAGCCTACCACATAGAGTATGCCGTTTTATTTAGGTTTTCCCTCCTGGATTTTCAAACCCCTTGGTTCTCTGTGCCTGGAGAGCCATGTTAAAGACCGTTGAACTCTTTCTATCTACTCATTATTACTCTATCTAGTTCTGTCTTTTATCTGTCTTTAGGATCTGTTGCATTCCCTGTAGTTCCAGATTTGCCTTTATGTGGATAGTAGGCTTATAAATAAAGCTACTCTAAAATTTCCACTTTGTGTTTATTAGAGACCTCAACAAGTTGAGTAGTTTAAAACTGAGTATAGTTCGGGAAGTCTGAATATATGGACATGGATTTTTCTAGAATAGAGCCCAGCTTAGATCACTGTGGACTCACATAGCCTTACATATGTGAAAAAATATCTGCTGAAATGTACTGCAAGTATTCCTTCATATCTTGAGATTGCCTTCATAGTTGCTTCATGGTTGCATGGTACAGATAGACTTCTCAAGGAAAAATTGGCTAACATTGTCATTGGTTTTCTGTTGCAGTGAATTTGTGGCATGGCTGTTGGAAATTGGAGAGATTCACAGGCCTGAGGAAGGTGTTCACTTGGGACAAGCATTATTAGAAAATGGAATTATCCATCATGGTAATTATTTTATTAATTACTTATTGAATCTGTTTGTTGACCAGTTGTATATATCTTAGCCCCACTGATGAGTTTATAATTCTCCACATTATAGGATGCTTATTTTTTCAACATTTTTATTACCTAATATGTATAGAATGGTATTTCAGAGAATATGGGTTTATGGTGATATATTTGTTAGCCTTAAAAGGAGCAGCTACAATACAGGCAGAAAATACAGATAAGTGTTGTGGGGTGTGGAGGAAGAGATGGTTAGTTCTAACTAGAGTATCTGGGATTTCTTCAAGGAGGCAGTGGCATTAGTGCTGGGCATTGTAGAATGAATAGAACTTTGACAGGAACAGAAGGGCAGAAGGTCACTTGACCCTGAGGAAGTAATAACATCCAGGCATGCTCGTGGGAAGGTCCTTCGTGGCATCTTCAAAAGTAGCACAAAGTCTCTTTTGGCTAGACTAGGTACCCCATGGGGGAATATACTGGTGAGGGGAGGTGTGGGAAGAAAGGTGGGCAGATGCCCAAGCCCAGAGGATCTGGTCTCTGGCTACAGTGCTATGGTATGTTGCCTTACTCTGAAGGAGGTCAGGAGCTGATGACTACTTTAGAGCAGAGGCATGGCCAGAACCTGGTTTCAGAGCTATCAGATGCAGCAATGTGGAGCCCGCAGTGGAAAGGTTAGCAGTGGAGGCCCAGCCTTACCCAGGAGTGTGAGGATGAGGGCCTCAGCAGGGCCGTGTCTTCCAGCATGAAGAGTGGGCCCATGTGAGATATTCTGGCAAAGCTGAAACAGCATATTTGATAACTATTTGGACATGTGAGATGAGGAATGAAGAGAGAGATCAGAGCATTCTGAACTGTCTAATCTGGATGGCTGAGGTAGTTAGTTCAGGAGGAATGGGTTTGAGAAAGAAGAGGAAAGATCCTGCTACAAATTGGGTATGAGACATCGGGGGAGCAATGGGAGTGTCCAGCAAGAGGCTGAAAATTTGAGTGTAAAGCTCAGGATAGAAACGGGATGACAGTCACATTTGGGAATCATTTTAAGAGAGTCCCAGATTTCTGAGAACAAGAAAGTAGTGATAATGGGATTAAGGATCAAAACTTGAAGAATTTCTAAGGTAAAATGTGGAGGAGGAGAAAAAGACAGGGAATTATTAATAATAGGGATATTTGGCTGTGGTATTTTGATGTTCATTTCCTTTCTTAAATAGAGCGGTGTGCAAACAAACCAGATCCTTCCAATTTCTCCACAGCACACCGGGTGTCACCCGTGTGATGGTGCCACCATCCACCCATCCAGGACTCACCCTGAATTCCTTTCTCTCCCTCATGCCATCAAGCCTGTGAGCTCTGCCACCAAAATATGTCCCTAATCAGACCATTTATCTCCCCTCCAGCATCCCCACCCTCTTTCCAGACACTGTCATCTCTTCCTTGCTTTCTCTTTTGTTCCCCACACCCGAAGTGCACTCTCCAGGGGACAGCTGAAGAGGCTTTTAAAGCAGGTATAAGATCAAAGCATTCCCCTGTTTACAGTTATCTAATGGCTTCACATCAGACTTAAAGAAAAGTTCACGCCTCTTACCATGACCTACGAGGCCCTATGGGATTGGGCCCCGGACTTCCACTCTGAGCTTGGCACCTAGTGTTGTACCTAACTTGTCACACTGTGGCCACCCTGGCCTGTGTCTTCCTTCCACACTCCAAGATGATTTAGGATCTTCGCTTTTGCTGATCTCATTCAACAACTGTTTATTAATTCCTAATATATGCTAGGGCGCTTTCTAAGTGCTGGAGATGCAGCAGTGAACGAAATGACAAAAATCCTTATTAATCCTTATTTAATGGCTCATGGATTCTATGACTCTGGCTTTTAGAAGCCCATCAGTCCTGTCATTCCACTATAAAAAATTTTTTTAAATTTTGACAATTTTTTCTGAAAATACTGAAATTTTTCTGAAATTATCATGTTGTTTTACTTGTTTCTTCTACTCTATCCCAGTCTCCAATAAAAATATAAGTAGTATCAGAACAGAAGCCTTGTTTGTTATTATACAGCAAATGCCTAGAGTTCTCAGCACATACAGGTGCTCAGTAGATACTTACTGAATGAATATATAAGAGAATAATTATTTTTTATTGAAACATAATTGATTATACATATTTGTGGGGTACAGAGTTGAATATCAATACCTGCGTACAATGTGTGATGATCAAGTCAAGATAATTAGCATGTTCATCATTATAAATGTAATCATTTCTTTGTGTTGAGGACATTTGGTCTCCTCTCTTCTAGTCATTTGATAACGTGCAGTAATTAATGTTAATTATAGATGCCTAGCTTGACTGTACATCAGTAGATTCTGTTTTTCCTAACTAGCTGTTTTGTGTCCATCAACCTATTTCTTGCTATTCTTCTCCCCTTTTCTGACCTCTGGTAACCACAGTTCTGTTCTCTCCTTCTGAAAGTTCATCATATTATTATGACTTTTCTTTCTTTCTTTCTTTCTTTCTTTCTTTCTTTCTTTCTTTCTTTCTTTCTTTTTCTTCTCTCTCTCTCTTTCTCTCTCTCTCTCTCTCTCATTCATTTCTTCCTTCCACTAATGACTGAGGACATGTGGTATTTCTCTTTCTGTGCCTGGCTTATTTCACTTAACCTAATTGTCCCTAAGTTCATCCATGTTGCTGTGAATTTCAGAATTTCATTCTTTTTTATGGCTGAATGGTATTCCATTGTGTAGATATACCACATTTTCATTATCCCATCGTCCACTGATGGACATTTAGGTTGGTTCCATATTTTGGCTATTGCATATAGAGCTGTGATAAACATGGGAGTGCAGGTGTCCCTTTGAAGTGATGATATCCATTCCTTTGGGTATATACCCAGTAGAGGGATTGCTGGATTGTATGCTAGTTTTACCTGTAGTTGTTTGAGAAACCTTTATACTGTTTTCCATAATGTCTGCACTAATTTACAGTCCCACCAACAGTGTAGGAGGGTTGCCCTTTCTCTTCACCTCACCAGCAACAAATGAATAATTACTATGAGTGAACAGATGATACTTACAAGTAATATATGATTTTGTACTTAATCCACTAACATCATTAAAACATCTAAAAGCATTACCTAAGACTTATAAGTAAAAATAAAAGATGTTGAGCTACATGGCTTTCCTCTTTTCTGCTCCTCTTTCCTTTCCCCTAATCCCAAGCCCAAGTGTATATTTGGAAATAAGAATGGAGTGTATTTGTTTTATTCTGCAGTTCACTGAAGCTCAAGTAGGTGGCATGTAGAGAGTTTTTGTGTACAATCAATCAGCCTTCTGAAATGATGATTTCTTTTCCATTTAGACCATGTACTTCCAAGGGCTGTGTGTTACCAGTAAAGCAAACAAGGGCAAAACCTGCTTGTGGATACCTTTTGTTTATTCCTTTCCTTACTGATTCTTTCCTTCGTCCCATAAACTAGATACTTTAATGTATGTAGACATGAATCGATGACCTTTATGGTCTAATTGTTTTAAATCTATCTTCTTACCCTGTCCACCAAGTAACCCAGTTGCTGACATATTTCCTTTCAGAAAGGCAGAAATCCATGAGGTTGGGGATGTGATTGTTTTGGCAGCGCATATTGACAAGGAAAACTAGCTGGTTTTCCACTGGTTAATAACAGTGCTGTAGCAAATAAACCTCCTCAAAACAGTGACTGACATTATAGAAGCTCAATTTTTGCTCCTGTAAGGTACAATCAGTGGGAATCGATGAGGCTGTTGTCTTCTGCCCCTGCAGGGTTTTGGTGCCTGACAGAGGCTCAGCCATCCTCAGTGCGTGATTCCCAAAGGTTACCTTGAGGTTGCTTTTTTCCCTAAGTGGGCCGGTACACTTCCCATGTGCATCATTTTTGTGTTCATGTCCTTGGCCCCAAGTCAATTATATGGCCAACCTTGAGTGCAAAGAAAACTGAAAAGGCCTACAAAGAAACAAAAGCTGAACCAGTTTGGTGAGTAACTACCCAATGTCTGCCCCTGAGGCATAGCTCTCAGGTCAATATAAGATCAGGAATTACATTAAAGACAAGGTAATCGTTATATATGTTTGTTAACATTTTCCAATGATAGTGCATAATAGTCACAGCAATAACTTTTAGCATTTCTACTTTCAGTTGAAGTTTGTGGCTTGTTAATTTTAGTGTCTTCAAACCTTCATGAATTAGAAATAACAGGAAAAAATAAATGATCTTAAAGCTATCTATCAGCAATTAATGATACTATTTAATTTGTTTAAAAATGATGGATAGGCAACCTTTTGTACTTCTGTGGCATTGCTTACTATATTCTAGAAAGAGCTACGCTGAGTTTGTGCACAATACTTTCCCTTTTGGTTATGGAGTACCTTGTAATAGATAAAAGTATAGTATAGCAGCTTTTAGTCTCAGAGCTGGGAAGTGTCAGGATGTAGCGGGAGGAGGTCCTTTCAGGGGGACTGTAGGGTTATTTTCAAGTCTTCTTCCCACTCCTGCTCTTATGTTTGACAAAGGGGACTTGGAAGTTGTTGCTTATGTGCCTAGTGAATTGGGTTCTGAAAATCCAAGACATAGCTGTCGGGGGTGGAATTTTACTTACTTTACAATAATAAAACTGTGTTATGACTTTGCTTAAAGATATAGCTAGTCAAACAAGTTCAAGTCAGTTGTAAGTTAGTACAAAGTAGAGTTGGAATAATATTTATTAAATATATTTATATACATAGTCTTAGAGTCTGACCTGTTCTTCTGTTCATGACTGTTGAAAGATCTGAAAGAAAAAGTGAAATTCCACAGAGAAAGAACCACCCTGGTATTCTGTTAACATGTTTCTCACAATATTTTTAGTTGCCTCCCCCCCTCCAAAAAAAAAAACAACAAGCAAGGTAAAAAAATTTTTTGAGGGTGTGTGAGAATGGGAAAATTTCAGTCCTAATCAATTTGTCCCCCGACCTCTGGCATCACTTTTTCCAACAAT